GGTTCCGACGTCGCCCTCGCGCGCCGCGCCCTGTTGCCGCGCAAACCGCCCTTCCCAGCCGCGTGCGGCTTCGCCGCCGCCCTCTCGCACCGCGCGCCCTGGCCTACTGGCGAAATCGCCATCCCCCGCGCGCGCGCGCAACGCTGCTCGATACCAAAGAGCGCCCCAGTGCATGCTTCGTTTGCTTTGGGGCCAACGCTGCAACATTGGTGCGCGCGAGCCTCGGCCGCTTGGTTCCGAACGTAATTCAAATCGCGCGCCCACGGTGCAACGGCGCGCCCCCGCGCGACCCCGCGGCGATCGGCGGGGGGGCGCTGTTGGGGGGGTGCCCGCGCTACCAGCAGGAGGGACATCCTCGGGCTGCAGCCGCTGGCTACAGGGATACCCCACCGCCGCCTTCAGATGCAGACCCACTCGGGGAGCATGCGGGTCATTAGCTGCGCAACCGCAGCCGCAGCGCGCGGCTCATCGCGGACGCAACGCGAGAAGGCGTTCGGCTTCGCCAACGGCGGCGGCGCATTTGAGAGGGGCACGAGGGGCCGCGCGGTGCGTGACTCGCATTCGAGAAACCAGTAACCGTATGTAAAATAATGCAGGAGGTCGCCATCGTGCTTCCCATGCGTGCGAATGTAATACTAGCAGAAGTACACGTAAGCGTTGTAAAGGTTGCGGGCACCGCGGCATCGCTGGTTCAATGGCGCAAGTAAATAAACCCATTGGTGGTGCTGCTGTCGCTGCGACCTGCAACAACTGTGATTTCGCCACCGCACGTTGGCAGAAATTACGGACCAAACCTGCATGACCTTACCAGTCTCGCACCCACCACCAGAAAAACCAGGTCGCAGAAGTAACTGCACACATTGTGTAAGTAGTGTTGTTCCATGTGGTTGCCACAGCTGCATCCATAACACAACACTGAATAGCCAGGCATGCACTTAGTAAGCCGCATGGAATCGGAGCCGCAGTCGCAGCCGTAGTCGTAGCCGCGATCGTAGTAGCACGTGGAGAGCTAGTAATGGTAGTAGCAATAGCAATAGGCATACCAGTCGATGTCGTCGTAGTGGTAGTGATGCTCACAGTAGTGGTGGCCGAAGAACAAGTAGCGGCAGTGGCATCGTAACGGTAGTAATAGTAGCAGTATTCGTATCAATGACAAAATAGAACTAGAAGTCGCATCCGTGAGAGTCGTCGTCGCAAGCGCATTAGAACTATTAGCTGTTGTAATTAATAACAGACGTGTTAGAAGCAGCGAGCGTAAAAGTGGACGCAGTAGTAGCAGTAGTCGTAGTAATGGTAGTGGTGGTACTACTATTTGTATTAGTAGTGGTAGTAGAAGCAGTAGTAGTAGCACTACTGCAACAACAACAACTACAACTACTACTACTACTACTACTACTAGCAATAGTAGGGGTAGTCGTAGTTACACTACTACTACTACTACTACGACTACTACTACTACTACTACTACTACTGCTGCTACTGCTCCTGCTACTACTACTAGCACTAGTAGTAGTAGTCGTAGTAGTAGTAGTAGTAGTTGTTGTTGTCGTAATAATGGTAGGTGTTTGTTGCTCTGGTAGTGGGAGTAGTAGCAGCAGCAGTGGTAGTAGTAGAAGTAGTATTAACCATATCAGTAGTAGTAGTAGTAGTAGTAGTAGTAGTAGTAGTAGAAGAAATGGTAGTAGCACTTCCAATAGTAGCAGTGGTCGTAGTAGTAGTAGTAGCGAACATGAAAAGCGCAAACCAACTTCAAGTAGCAATCTTTGTAGCAGCAAGGGCAGCACCATTAGTAGGAACCGTGGTAGTGGCAGGAGTAGCAGCAGTGGTAGAAGTAGTATGAATAGCAGCAAAGAAAAGGCAGTAGCTGTTGTAGAATCAGAAATTGTAGCGCATTTGAAATACCATTTGCAGCACTAGTGCGCTAGGGATAGTGGTCGTAGTAGTGGCCGTAGCAGTCGTGGTACTAGTAGTAGGCGCGGTAGTAATGTTAGTTGGCCGTAGAAACAGAATTAGTAACAGTGGTAGTAGCAGTGGTAGCGGTAGTGGTGGTACCATGACATGTATCAGTCGGCGCAGCAGGTGTAGTAGCAACAGGTCTGGCAGTAGTCGGCGTAACATACGCAGTGGTAATAGTAGTAGTAGCAGCAGTAGAAGTAGTAGTAGACGTAGTCGGTAGTAGTAGTAGTAGTAGTAGTAGAAGTAGTAGTAGTAGTAGTAGTAGTAGTAGTAGTAGTGGTAGTGGTAGTAGTAGTAGTAGTAGCCGTGGTAGTGGTAGCTGTACACATAGCATGGCAAAGGAGCCTTGTTTTGTGGTGGTAGTAATTGCTTTCGTAGTAGTAGTGGTCGTAGAAGAAATCGTAATAGACATTTAGTAGCACAAGTAGTAGCAGTAGTGGTAGCACAAGTAGTAGTAATAGCAGCAGCAGCAACAGCAGTAGCAGCAGCAGCAGCAGTAGTAGTAGTAGTAGTAGCAGTAGTAGTAGTAGTAGTGGTTGTAGTTGTCGTAGTCGTGGTAGTCGTAGGAGTCGTAGTAGTAGTACTAGTAGTAGTAGTAGTAGCAGCGTAGTAGCAGTAGTAGTAGTAGTAGTAGTAGTAGTAGTAGTAGTAGTAGTAGTAGTAGTAGTAGTAGTAGTAGTAGTAGTAGTAGTAGTAGTAGTAGTAGTAGTAGTAGTAGTAGTAGTAGTAGTAGTAGTAGTAGTAGTAGTAGTAGTAGTAGTAGTAGTAGTAGTAGTAGTAGTAGTAGTAGTAGTAGTAGTAGTAGTCTAGTAGTAGTAGTAGTAGTAGTAGTAGCAGCAGCAGTAGTAGTAGTAGTAGTAGTAGTAGTAGTAGCAGTAGTAGTAGTAGTGGTAGTAGTAGTAGTAGCAATCGTAGTAGTAGTAGTAGTAGTAGTAGTAGTAGTAGTAGTAGTAGTAGTAGTAATAGTAGTAGTAACACTAGCAGTACAACAAGTAGTAGTAAGGGCAGTCGTAGTGGTAGTAGTGGTGGTGGTGGTAGTAGTAGTAGTAGTAGTAGTAGTAGTAGTAGTAGCGGTAACATTACTAATAGTAGCAGTAGTAAAAGTAGAAGCAGCAGTAGCAGCAGTAGTGAGGGATGAGTCGTAGTCGTAGTCGTAGGCGTAGTCGCAGTCTTAGTCGTAGTCGTAGTCGCGTTCGTGGTCCGAGTCGTAGTCTTCGTTGTCGTCGCCGCCGTCGTCGTATCTGAGCAGTAGCCGTCGCAGGGGTGGTGGCGATCGTCTCCTCTCCCTGCTGCGTCATCATCGTCATTATTGTCGTCGCCGTGTTTTGCCAACTTTCGCAACTGTGTGTTCGGTATACTGGTATACGTGTTGCGACCCCCCCAGGGCACCCGTCGGTTCGGCAGCAGGGGCCAGATATCTGGGGCCTCGAGCTCTACGACTTATCCAACAGCAGCCCGATCGCGCGGCCATATGGCCGCCAGCCCTGCCAGAATAACCCTGGGGGCAATGGCCCCCGTGGGCTCCCGCGTGGGTGGAACTGTCCCAACCAGACCTGCAATGCGGGTTTTGGTTCTTCCCTGCGGGCAACACGGCGCCATATTCGTGGTTCGTACCAGTTTGGCGCAGGGGTGCAGAGGACATCGGCCACGTGGACTGCTACGCCGTGTGTCTCATCTGGCTGGAAGGGCTCAACGTACGGTGCCCTCTTGCCAATGCTGACCACACAAAACCCGTTTAGGAACAACACCAGAGGGGGATCCACTGCAAGTGTAAGGCTCCATAGGGAGCTCCACCGACGGCGCCAGTCACCATTAGCGGTGCCACGCAACGTAGCTGGAAGTTGGCGTGTTGGCGGCCATCTGAAGGCGCGCCCACGCCCGCGCTTGCCTGCGCGCTACCTGTTTTACCACCACCTTAACCGCACCATCATTACCATCGTCATCACATTCATCATTCATCAAGTCACCGTCGTCGTGAAGAGGACAAACGTGTGGAGGAGGTGGCAAAACATATGAGGAGGAAGAAAACGACGTCGTGAAGGAAACGTGTGAATGAGGAGGCGGAGGATTTGGATGATGATAGTGAGGAGGATGAGGAGAAGGAGGAGGATTAGGAGAAGGAAGAGGAAGGAGAGGAGGAGGAGGAGAAGGAATAAGAGGAGGAGGAGGAGGAGGAGGAGGAGGAGGAGGAGGAGGAGGAGCGTTCGTGGCTGGCACAGTCAGATTGGCACAGTTGCGAGGCATCGCGATGCCCGAAGCCCTGCACCGCGGGTCGCCGATCGGAAGCATCCAGGATTGAAGGCACTGTTGGCTCGCCACTGAGAGTTTCCGCTGCCCACTTCGCCCTGGCCCCTTGGAGGCCCGATGGTGTCGTTGTTGCGTGACTGAGAGCTTCCGCTGCCCACTTCGCTCTTGCCCGTCTATCCCGCACCGTTCTCCGGCAGGAACTACTGGTCTAGCCCGATGGGAATATATGTGCCAGGAGGCGGTGGCTCTGAGATGTTGTGTTGTTTTGCACGCGTGCATTGCATTATAGCTCCAGAACACGATGCACAAATCATGGGTTGAAGTTTTTTGTTTGTGCGAGGGGTTTGCGTCCTCTTGGATTCTCGGAGGCCTCCTGGAGGAAAAGGTTGATGATATCACCCCACTCCCCCATATGGCACATTAAGCTCTCAACAAGGCATGCTGCATTTACCACAATGGGGCCACTCTCTGAAGATTCTTGGAAGGCTCAGGTAGTCTTGGGCATCTTAGGGGACATGGGATATCAGAGGGATGCATGCTTGGCAGGCTTTCAAAGGGCTCCAGAACCGAATGCGACTAATGTCAATCGAGGTCGGCGCCTGGATCCCTGGGCCCCTTTGTGGGGCTTTGTTGGGGCACTTGCATGGCCTCAGAGAGGCCCAGAGGCCCAGAGGCCCAGAGCTTCAAGAAGACAGCATTGGAGCCAAAGAGCGATCCTTAGCCGTTTTGGCACTAACCTCTTTCGGGCGAGGCATCCCGACCAGCCAGCAGCCAGCTGACGGGAGATCGCCGCCAGGATGCTCCGCGTGAAGACTGAGTGCCTGGACAGCTCGACAGCGCCCTCGTTGCAGTACGATCCCGACTGCCTGATGATTGAGGGGGACGCTCATGCGACGCCCGCTGGCCTTGTCAAGGCTGAGTATGCAGAAGATCTTCCCTCGGTAAGTGTAGCTGGCAGCACGGCAGCAGCAGGCGACGACAATGTGCAGCTCGAGTCGGCTCCGCCTGCGCGGGCCACGGACGATGCTGCCGAGGTCGACGTCAAGACTGACGAGAGGAAGGAGCAGGCACGCAACCAGTGCACGCGCATGATTGACATGTTGGCCTTCGCAGGAGTGGCTGCCCCGAAGATGACTGACATGGCAACGCCAGTCGATCGCGACCAGACGGGCGAGGGCGATGTCGCTACCGAGGCTGGGGCAGAGGCTCAGGCCCATGATTCCAAGGTTATCGATGCTGTGGGCGCCCCTATCAGCGATTTGTCTCTCCTGGCGGCCTTGCCGTCGGGCCCAACGATGGTCGCCGTCAGGCGCATTCGTAAGACGATTAACAACTACGTGGAGGACATGCGGAGAGATTCTTGGTTCAATGATTTCAAGCTTGGGACTGTTTCTAGTGTCGGTAAGCGCCTCGACGCGCATGCAGACAAGATATTGGGTAAGGCCACGTACGAAGTACAACTTGCATACCTGCAGCCCCAGATCAGGATCAGAGCAGTTGTTTCCCTCTGGAAGGCGATCAAGACGTGGCTGGAGTCGCAGAATGAGACCTTAGTGATCGATACGCTTCCACACTTCTCCACGGTCCTTGGCTATTTGGCGACGGTCGAGGTCCCTATGTCTCAGACCCTCACGGCGGTGTTTCAATATGCTGTTTTCCATGCGGATTTCAAGAAATGTGGCGTGGTATCAGCTCCTATCAAGCGTCTTGACACCGAACTCTTCGACATTGCGCGCGCCAACACCAATGACGAGGTTGGCGGTGCTGTTGACGAGGTTCATGTTGCATCGGATGGCGAGGGGAAGCGGGAGGTCGCTGACGGCGAGCCCGCAGAGAAGGATCGGGGGAGCAAGCCCAAGCAGTCGAAGAAGGCCAAGAAGGATAACCCCGACATCCACGCAGCGGTGCTCATCGGTGCTAGCGCCGTCGACCACATGGAGCACATGATCGTGGAAGCGATGAAGGGGTTCATGTACAAGCTGCCAAAGGACACGCTGACGGTGCCAGAGAAACGCTCGAGCTTCGTGACTGAGATCCTCGACACAGTCCAGGCGTGGACCAACATGAGCATGCAGTTCGAGAACATCGGCGACGCCCAGTCCGACTTCACGAAGGTGCTGACGGCCATCGGTGTCATCGCGCAGTGCGTCATCTCGGTGGAGCAGTGCCGTCCGCCCTCGTCCGAAGTTCGAGCAGCGAGGAAGGTTGTGTTGGATCACGTCAAGGGGGTTGTCAATCCAACTACAGAGCTGGCGAGGATCCTGAAGTCCTACACGGTATCCCAAGACGTACTGGAAGCATCCAGAGTACATGTTGCACAGACGGTGGAAGATGATACTGCATCGGAGTTCTTCTTGAGTGCCGTTTCTAAGCTCGAGGATACCTTGGAGAGCGCGTTCGATGACATCGAGGTGTGGAGGGACACCATGGCCAAGCTGATCAACGACACGTCTGACTTCGCCCCCTTGGAGGACGTTTACACAGCCATCGATAAGCTCATTGGCAGCGTGGTGCATTGCCTCGGGAAATGGTCAACGGCTGCGCTGCATCAGAACTGCCTCACCGTTTGCTCTGAGATGAAGAACTGCAAGATCATCATCGACGTGGCGTTGTACATGCATCTGCATTGCTTCTACGATGGCATCGCCATTCACTTCGGCGAGTTGAACAACTACCTCGCCACCTTGATCAAAGCTGGTGGCTTGGATGGCCCCGTCGAGAGCTTCGATGAGAAGAGTGCCATCGAGAGCAAGGTTAAGCTTCAGAAGTTCATGGGTGCAATGAAAGTATCAGCCGACAGAGTTTTAGAAGTCAACACTCACTGGGCACAGTGTCTTCGGATGATCGTGACGCGTGCAGGGCAGTTCGCCATGAACCAGTTCGATGAGGATGAGATGACCACCCTGAAGTTCGATATATGTCACACGGCAACCACGTCGAGCATCAATGACATGATCAAGTACGCCGTCTACTGCATCGACGTTGCCGTGAACGCCTTCGCGAAAGTGCAGCTTGCTCCGTCTTCCGAAGCGTTCATCGAGTTCACGAGGCTGTCGACGCACCTGTCGGACATCGAGAAGCTGAGCTGGGAGTGCAAGAGCTTCTGCTCCATCGACGAGTTGCCCGCCAGCACCGTCAGGGCCTTCATGCTGCTGAGGGATGGCGTGGGTTAGGGGGGACATCGCAAACCCCCAGGGTGTTTGACCGTAGCGTAGTTCGAGTGTCCTTGGCTCCAGAACACAGAGGGTCCCTGGCTCCGGAACACAAAGGACTCTTGGTTGCAGGGAACCAAGGAGTCCGACGGGCACAAAACCCAGGGGTCCTTGAGCCAGGGGAACAGGAGGCTGGAAGGAGGAGAAGGAGGAGGAGGAGGAGGAGGAGGGAGGGCGGACGAGGAGGAGGAGGAGGAGTAGGAGGGATGAGGAGGAGGGAGGACAGGATAAGGGAGAGGAGGAGGAGGAGTCCAGGAGGAGGAGGATGAGGAGGAGGAGGAGGAGAAGGAGGAGGAGAAGAAGGAGGAGAAGGAGGAGGAGGAGGAGAGGGAGGAGGAGGAGGGCGGCGATGGCAGCGATAACGATCGTGCCGCTGGCGGTATCGATGCTGACGGCGTTGACGGCAACAGCACTGATGACTGATGATGCCGATGATGCTGATGAACATGGTTGGGATGTGGGTGAGTGGGATGAGGGCGCAGAACACGATGATGAGGATACGACGATCGGGGCCCTCTAACTTAGGGGACACGGGTGAGGACGACGAATGGCGCCGACTGCAATGGAGAAAGCAACGACTTGGCATGAGAGGATGGCGGGAGGACGAGGAGGAGAGAGGAAGGAAGACAAGGAGGAAGGAATGAGGAGACTAAGAGAGAGGAGAAATGGAGAAAAAGCATTTTTTTGTACCCGTGACCCCCCGCTTTTGCAGGGGCACACGTTCTAGAGACGTGCAAGCAGTCGTTCTTCACCCAGAAGCTCAAGGCCGCTGGGACCACGTTGCCGTTCTCCGTGGGCGACGTCCACGAGGCTGCGGTCCTCGCAGCACAGGACTACTCGACAGTTGTGCTCCTGACGCGTGGCCTTGATGATGTTGCTGTTTGTATTCCAGACTGTTTGAAAGGTGAGCTGCCAGGCACGCTGGGGTTTGATGTCTTCGCTACCGCTGGCCACAACGTTGCATATGAGGATCTTCGGAAGTTCGTGGAGGCCAGCGGCGCGACGCACGTGAAAGTTGACGGCATGACAAACGCATCGACACCAGACGACGACAACGTTCCTGTGCACCACGCCCTTGCATATATCTCAATCGTGAACGCCATGAAGGATATGGTCGGATGCATCGTCAAGGTGAATGGCATGTTGTCCAAGGCCAGCGGCTACAATGATGACATTTCAGAGGGCGTGGTGGTCGGTCCGCTCGTGCAGCTGCTGAAGCTTGTCTCCGCTTGCCTCGTGCGGCTCGACTGCCAGCTGCACTCCAAGCCTGCTCTGGAGCTCGAGAAGGCTGGCTGGGTCACGCCCGTGGGGCTCAGCGGGGCCAAGCAGTGGGCTCTCTCGGTGGGCCACTTCAGCTTGAAGTGCCAGAAGCGGTTTCTCCAGATCGTGGACAGTGGCATCCTGAAGTACACCGACGCTTGCAGCAAGGAGTGTTTGGACTGGAAAGCGGCGTTCGACACCACTGGCAAGTTGAACTTGCCCCTGGCGACGAAGTTGTTCTACAACAAGCAGGGGGGGGTGGCTGCCTCCCACAACGCCCTGCACCAGAAGCTCGCCACCGTCAACGTCGCCGTCGCCGACGTGGGCATCACGCCCAGCATCCAGGAGCATGACATCACGTCTTCATCGGTGGCGCTGGCTCTGGCTTGCTTGGTCACTCGGGGCTCAAAGGGGAATGCCGAGCTTTGGGCGCGCGCGTCGGTTCGGAGCCTCAACCAGATCTGCCCTTCGAGGCCAGAGAGGGGGGGTGGGGCTCCGAATCGACCTGCGCATCGAAAGCACTGCATCCTTCATTGATGCCACCTGGAGGCGAAAGCATCTTTGCTCTCCGTCGTCATCAAAGGTTGCTCGCTCTTGGCGAGCCTGGAGAACAATCCCAAGGGGCCAGAGAGCGCAAAGGCGTTCATCGAGAAGCATCCGCCATCGAAGTACCCCGAGATCCCGAATAACTTCTGGGACGAGTTGCTGGCGATGGCATCGTTCACCATCGAGCACGTCGGAGAGAGCGCCCAGTCCGCGGCGAGCGGCTCCGCTGGCAGCGGCGTCGCAGCGACGCCTGCGCCGAAGGCTGCGGCTGAGGCGCCTTCCGACGTGACCAGCGCCACCAAGTTCAAGGGCACGTCGCTGAAGCGCGACGCTGGCTCCGACGCAGGCCCGAAGCAGGTGGGGCTCAAGCGCTGCAAGAGGCAGCGTTGAGTTTCGCCCCAGTTTATGGGGGCTGGGTGGAGGGAGGGGGGATGAGGGGATTGGAATTAAGACGGATTGGAGGGTAGGTGCTGGAATATTGGATAGGAAAGAGATGGAGGATGGGGGAGACGGTGGAATTTGGTAGGGCTGGTTCGGGGTCGGAGGGAAGGGGTTGGGATGCGTGGGAGGGGGCGCGCAAAGTAGAAGGCAGGAGGGATGGACATAATGGGAGGGAGGACGGAGGAGGAGGAGGATGAGGAGGAGGAGGAGGAGGAGGAGGAGGCGGAGGAGGAGGAGGAGGATAAGGAGGAGGAGGAGGAGGAGCAGGAGGAGGAGGAGGAGGAGGAGGAAGAGGAGCGGGAGGAGGAGGAGGAGGAGGAGCGGGAAGAGGAGGAATGGGAAGGAGGAATGATGAGGACAAACCAGAAGCTAGTAGGGGCCAGCCAGCAGCTGGCGTGCGGGGCCGCGGATTACGAGACTGTAATCCAGCGGCGTGGACACAAGCGGCCTGGAGACAGGCGGCGTGGGACAGGCGTGGGGAGAGGCTGCTCCGTCAGATCTTGATCCCTCCCTGCCCCTGCTTCTCAACCCTCCCCCTGCTTTCCTCTCATTATTCTTCTGCCCCCGTGCTGATATCCTGCCCACGTTCTCTCTACCTCAGCCTTTCGCGCCGTCGTGGCTCGTGCCCCTCGCGACGTCATTAGTCGTACCCCTCACGACCTCATTGGTCGTCCGCTTCACGACGTTCTTCCTAACCCCACCTTCACCCTCGCACCTCCATCCCTCATGTCATCATTTGGCATTGTCATGCGGGAAATGGATCCCCGCGCACGCTTGCTTCTCCAGTTTTGATTCACTCAGGTTCGATGATTGGCAGTGGGTTCGGCAGGCCACGATCCGAATGGTACGATGCAAGACGAATGTCCCACTTAAGTTCAGGCACACATTTGTTTCATATGATTTAAACCATACAAAAAACAAAAAGCCTACTTAACTTCAAGAGCTAACTCTGGGAGTTAACTCCCAGAAACGAGTTACCAAAACAAGTTGAAGTTAAGAGTTGGAGTGATGAAAACGAGTTGCGTCACAAAGGCTGTCGACCATTCGGTGTTGAATTCCACCCCCCCTACAGAGCTGAGGGAATACACGCGCCCAAACCCTGCCCAGCGCACGCGGCGCCGAGCTCGACAGCCGAGTCGCAGATTAGGCAGGGGGAGTGCCAGGCCGCCAGGTGCAGGCATAGCTTGGTGCTCGCGCTGGGCGCGATCCTTGGGGGGCTCGGGACCGCGCTGACACAGGGGCAGGCGCGCTGCATGAGAGCGGCACTTCGTACGCGGAAGGGGCCCACTCAGAGTTTGGAGTCTCCAGGTGCTGCTGCTGTTCCAAGGGCGTTGAAGGGCCCTGCGGCTCCAAGCGGCAGGAATGGCACGCGCTCTCGATTGTAAGTGCACCCAGGCTCTGGTGTACCACCCTGGGGACGACCATGCTTTCAACTGGCCCCATCGGCTGCTGCTCCATCGGGTTGAGGGATCGCGATGGATCTGCCCGTCGCCAGATTTCGAGTTGTTGATGATCGATTTCCCGGTGGCGCGTCATCGCGTGATAGGGCGCCGCCAACCTTTTTACCGCCGACATCGCTGCGGAGTGCTACATCTTTGATCCTGTGGACAACTGGGGGCTGGTGAACTACTACCGGCGCGATGCTTGGCAGAGAGCTCGCATCCTGGTCGCCGACGCGGCGGGCGCGGACGACGACCGCGCCTGGGTGATCAGCAGCCCCCCTGACGCGAGGTTCGGGGAGATCGTGGGTCAGGCGGCCATGGAGGGCGCGGAGCGGGCAGCAGTGCTGGGCTCCAAGGGCGTCATCCGCTTGGACGGCGAAGAGCGCCTCGTCGCGATGGTCGACCGTGACGAGGTAGAGGACTTTAAGCGGGAGGCCTCTGCGGGGACGAACGACAGCCGGCTGCTGGACCTCGCGCGCGCGCGCTCGCGGCACGGGACTGACGAGGCGCTCGAGATGCGCTCGGCGGTCGACGCGATGCAGCCCGAGAAAGATCAGAAGTTGCGGCGCTTCGACGGCCCGCGCGCCGCGGCGGAGTCCTGTGAGCAGGTTCGAGATGGAGCTGGCAACTTCACCTCCTATCACGCGGCGTGGATTCGGCTGAGTGGAATCCACGAGGGAGGGTCCCACGCGCACGAGCACGGAGCTCTGTGCGACTTACTGCGGCTGGCGACGTCGACTGACCAGCTGGACGTGACCAACCTCGCGTGCATGGAGCGCGCAGTTCGTCGGCTGGAGAGCTTGGAACTAGCGGTGGAACGGAGCCCCCGGCACCCAGGCCGCGGCGGCTTGGACGCGGTCGAGGGCGGGGTCGCCACTGCGAGAGGTGCGGCCCGCATGGCGACCTTCAGGGGGCACATCTTGGAGCGCCACAAAGAGCGAGCGGGCTGACATCCTCATGCAGGAGAGGCTCTACCGAGAGGAGACGAACAAGAGGAAGGCGGAGGACAGCAAGGGCGACGACCCGAAGGGGCGAGGCCGCGGACGAGGCCGAGGAGGAGGCAGAGCAGACGGCGAGAGTGGCCCCCAGGGAGGGGCGGGCTCACACTAACTTTAGATTGTTCCATGTGGTGTTTGGCGCTCGGGACTTTGGCCCGCAGTTTCTGAGCGTTGAGGGGCGCCGCCGTCTACCTGAAGGGCCCAGTGTCGATGGCTTTTGGTCCTCGCCGTCGTGCGCCAGGGGGGGGAAGGCATGGGGGTCCTTTTTCGCCGCCCGAACCCCCAGCTTTGCTGCCTGATCGCCTCCGACCTGGAGGCGCTGAGCGGCAGGGGCGAGCCATGGAGGCGACTCGCGCGCTGAACTACCTCGCCGCCGCACGCGCTGGCGACATGCAGAAGGCACCTGCCCATGCCGGCCCTGTCGGACGCGCTCGGCGTGATTGCTTGGAGGTCATCTCCTGGGCGACCGCGCAGTGCGGGGATAAGCCGACTGATCTGGACTTCGAGGGTGTGCTTCGGCAAGTTCTCAAGACCAGGTCACTCTATGTAGAGTTACCGCAGCACTTGCGGAGCTGCGCCTCCGAGAAGCTGAGGGCCCTGAAGGGCGACGTGGAGCCGAAGGGCGCAGCGGAGGCGTCGCTGCCGGCGGCGGACGGGTCTTTGCAGCACAGTGAGAGACGCATCGAGCGGAGCGCGGGTGATATCGAGAGCCTGCGGGCGGAGGGCGAGCTGAGCGCCCCGCGCTGGGGCCCAGTTGTGCGTCGCGATGCTCGCGCGCACGCCCATCTGCTGTTCGCAAAAAAGACGGGAAGATCAGGTTGATATGCGATCCGAGGGTCTCGACTGCCTTGCGCCGCAGGCCGCCCAAAGCGGCTGGCGTCGACGCCTTAGCCGCGCTTGACCTGGCCGACGTGAGCTCGGGGGAGACGACCGCTGGCGAGGTGAATTTGGACGCGGGCACCATTGATGTGAAGGACGCCTTCTTTCAGTATTCAGTGAAGGAGGTGGCGAGCTGGTTCGGACTAGGCCACAAGGTCAAGGCGAAGGACTGGCATATCAAGAAGGCATGGGATGGTGATCTCAAGGGTCAGGATGAGGTGGGCTCCCTGGAGGAGCTTGAGGTCGTTTTCGAGGCGATGTGCATGGGCTGGACGTGGGCCCTCTACCTCTGCAGCGAGGGCACCGAGAGCAGTCTTTCAGACGCAGGCCTCGCGGTAATGCGGGATCGCTTTCCTCTCCCGACAGGGAGGGGCTCCCTGGGGCAGGGCGGCGCTCGCGTGGACACCGTGACCACGGTCGCTGCGGGGCCTCCTGGAGCCGCGCGCTGTTTGGAGAAGGTGGAGCAGGTCGCGAGGCTGAAGGGCCTCCCGCTGCACCCCCCTGAGGTCGGCAAGCTGGCGGGGTCGCTGGGCTTGGTCCTGGGCGCGGAGCGGCTGGAGCAGAAGCGCGCCCCCGACCGGCCGCGGAGGTCCTGGGCCCCCTCGCGGGCTCTCAGGCGCCGCAAGTGCGTTCGGAGCGGCGACTTGGAGGTCTGGCTCGGCTCGGGCACGCGATCAACATGATGAGGTCGAGACGCCCGCTGATGGCCATCTCGCAAGAGGTCTACCATCGACTCGACGTTCGGCGGGAGCGACGCGCGGCAATCGACTTCGTTTTGAGGCGCGAGATGTGGGCGGTGTTGAGCCTGATCTTCTTTGCCTACGTGGACCTGGGGTGGTGCCCGTCTCCGACAGCCCGACCGAGGGGCGCGGGCTCTTGCGCCGCCGGGCCGACTCGGACTTCATCCTGAACGAGATGCGGTTTCGCGAGAGGTGGAGGTTCATGGAGACGGAGCCCGAGCCCGAGCGCCAGTTCGTCACGAGAGGCTTCGCGCGGGAGCAGGCGCGCGGGCACGTGGGCGACGCCGACCCCGCGGACCCCGACGGGCAGATCTTCGCCGACATGGAGGTGCAGGGCCAGGCGGTAGGGGCGCCCGCTGGCGCAGACACCGCCTACGCCCGCTGGGCGCGCAAGGCGACCTGCGCCGGCAAGGCGCCGCGCCACGCTCGGCTTCGTCGCCGCCATGGCGTGGAGGTGGAGATCCCTGCAGCCATCCCTCCAGTTTCCCAGATCTGGGCTGATCGCCCAGCTTGGGCCCTAGCGACCTGCGGTCTCTTGGCCTGGCCTGAGGAACACATCGATGAATGCGAAGCAGGCGCGCATCGCCCTGGATGATGCGAGGCGCTGCGCTCGCAGCAGTCATCTTCGAGGGCGTCGGGGCCTGCATTTGGTCGACAACGTGGCGACCTGCTGCTGCTTCGACAAGGGCCGCGGCCGTTCGTGACTCGTGGGCCATGAACGCCGCGTGCAGGCGTCTCTGCGCCTACCAGCTGGCAGCCAACTTGCGGCCGAGGTGGAGGCACGTGGACAGCGAGTACTGCGCTGCCGATGGTGACTCGCGAGGAGGCCGGCGCCGGCTGCGCCCGCAGCGCGAACTCTGTCACCAGAGGGGACGGCCGAGGGCCCCGAC